AGGTTGATCTGGTGGTCAACCGACCAGTCGGGTGAGTTTTTAAAAAAGACGGTACGTTTGATTCACCCTCTATATAGCAGACAACGAAAATAATCAAACGACAGGGTGATCAGAAGACTATCCATGTGAAGACTGCCCGGTATATCGTGGGGTATTGAAATAAATTGAATGTATATTATATAGTAAATGTATATCGGGATACATAATACGCTGAACATTTCTAGCAATTTGAATGCTATAAATAAAAGCTATAAAATGTTTACTGTACTGTTATGCATGGTGGACCCGACTAAAGTATTCGATAGATGTAAAGTTTGTTATTGTCATGATAACACGAGCCGAGAATTCCGTATGTAATGAGATGATCCCTGGTATGCTTGCAACTACGTTTGATAGTAAACAACGAACAATACAACGTTTGGTTTATTCTGGGAGTCATTGATGGCGAGACGTCGCAGAGAACTGAACAGATCAGATCCTAGAAAGTATAAAGACGTACAATAATAACCAATAATTAATTGATTATCTTATTAACTATTGTTCCCTGTTATTCGTATTAGAATAAAGTTTCAATTTTTGGTATTTATTTAACCCCTCCAAATCTGACATAATAGTGTACACTGTTTTAGTACTTCAATATGTAATAAATATTAAATATGTGACAGGCAATCACCCTTTCTTTGAGCTTGTTTCTATTAAGAAAGTAGTGTACTACCACATTTTATTCGAAATACATATTATTATTACATAGTAATGCATTGAACGACAGTCTTTCGTCGCCGGATGACCACAAATTTCTACGAAAATCAGTTGTAAAAGAATTAAAGTAAGACTGTTGAGTGCTATGTTCTGTTGCAATTTCAAGAGAATTGCAAATTAATGAAGTTCATACAGTCGAGTTCGTTGGTAATCGTTTTATTTATACATTACGGTCGAGCACACAGTTAAGGGTAAGTAGCAAGGGTTGGTCAGGTATGTATCGACCTGCTGGTACTTTGGTCACGTAAATTTGTAAGAATTTGAAACCCAAGACGTAAGAAAGATAACTAAAGACTTATTAAACTAGTCGATAGCAGGCAATGAATTAACCCCTTGCCTCATAATAACACACGAGACTCGTGGCGAAGATTTCAAATAGAATTTAACAAATATAAGTATTACTAAGGTCCTGTGAATTCAATTGAAATATTATTCTTTTCTTATTAAATTATTATACTTCGGAGCAAATGTGGACACAGGATATGCCTAGAATTTTTCTTTTTTTCCCAATAAATTATTAATGACAAAGTAGTTATGCCGATCTCAGTTCAGAAATAAATCGTAGAGCAAGAGGTTCAAGACATTCGTTGCTTAATACTCAAAAAAATATACCGGGAGTAAAACTTCTAATAAAGTGTATACTTCTTATAATTCTGCAGATTAATTTAATAAAACATATTTCAATGAAATAAAACCGAAAGCAAGTCTACAAATAAATAATTGAACAGCACTTCGTTTAGTCAGCAAAACCTTCCTTTGTCGCTCTATTTCAAAAGTTTGAAAGACTCGACATTCTACATGCCAAACTAATCGAATAATAGATTTGAAAAGCTGTATTCAAGTGAAATGAAAATTTATCTGACAATTAATCATGCCCTGCTTTCATTTAAAGAGAGGAAACGCGATCGGTCTCTCCCATCGGAAAGAATTTTGCTTTTGCGAGCTCACCGCTAACAATAACACACTGCAAGATCGAGAAGTGATTCGTGAAAGGCTCTGGCATCTTTCTCTGAAATGCCACGTACCCACTAATCAGAAAGAGGATCCTGGGAACCGCCCTTTTATCTGCTAGATCATTCTTCTTCCTGGTTTCGCTCGATCATTGTAACATCTAGGCGTTATTTAGAAATGATACGTAACAAGCTTCGATTCAGCACTCCTTCATTGCATTACTCAATACATCTTCGCTAAAAGTGCTACTCAACTCACTGGTTTAATCATGAACGCCAAAGCGGAATTAAAACTATACAAAGCAGTTCTCGTTGCCAGTACGTAATTCAATTGAGGATAACAGTGAATACGATATTTTTTTCCATCAGTATCAATATTATGATATTATTATGATACAATGATTACCTAAATGCAAGCGTAATAAACTATACAATGTGATTCTGTTTTTATAGAATTATTTACCATAACGATTCCATTTATTTCGAAGCTGAAAATTAATGGTTTGAATTTATAATAGAAACTAGACTTTCAATAACAATTGTCTTGTAAATGAACTGTGAAGATTTATCGGTGTATCTACTTATATTTTCTATTGAAGGTTTCGAGTGTTGAAAGATAGAATGAAACTTCATTAAATATTAAAAAAGTTCTCCAACTTTGATACGTTGAGTGGAATACGATATTAAAAACAGGCTTCTCTTATTTTGCTTACTATCACTTAGCTAATAAGGTGCTAATAAAAATTCAAACATGAATTTCCAAGTATCGATTGGAATTATTTACAGCTTCTAATTTCCATGTTGCACGACAGTCTTCGGCAAATAAGACTCGAGTCTCTGGAAACCGATTCACGATCCTGATCCTAGATCTGAATCTATCAGCTGACTCGACCTACTTTCAATTACAGGCACGCAAGGCATTTTCAGTAGCCCTGAAACAATTTCCAGTTCCCTACATCACTTTCCAGTGTGTTCCACAAACGCGAGATTATCAAATCCGTCAAAAAAATTCTAATAATCTTTCCAATGTTCATCAGTCAGTTTCATCAAACACTGGTTAAAGTATTTAGTTCCAACTTTATACAGATTCATTTCACTAACTCATAAAAACTACAACTTTCGCATTGACTTTCATTACAGAGGGTGTCCCGCAGCGAATGGTGCAATTGGAAAGAGGGTGATTTTGCATCAAACATAAATCTTTCGGAACCTTATCGATGAACATCGTGATAATTGAGAAAAATTAACGTTGAAAAGAAAAGCACTGAAACGAGTCTACAAACCTACAAGTCCAATCATTAACAGCAAATTTGAGTCTAAAGAAATCAATACGCTTCTAATTTTCTAAGAACCTTACCCTACCA